ACACTGCACGTATTATTGTGAAACTTTGAATTTAAGTTTACTAAAGAGTGAGATTAAGATTCAGTACTGACGTTCGATTCACACGGCCTACTATGTTTATGTATGCAAAACTTAAAAGACATCCCTTGTAGGCGACCAGAGGGGAGAAAGGTAGGGGAAAGGGGCGCGGTGCCGCTTTCCTTCTCTGCGTGCGCGCTTTGAAATCTTGGCGGTTGGGTACTACTACGAGGTTACCACGTTATGTATTCTTAATATTTACTTCGACGAGGATGCCTGAAACATGGTAAATATTTTGCTAGTACCGGGTCGCTAAGTACCATTCTATTCTTTAATTGTATTTGTATTTTCCATATGTCTCAGGTGGTTATGGGTGTTATGGCACGTCGCACCTATACCCCACGAAACCCAAACTCTCATTTTACGCCTTGGGTACATAAATATATATTTTAAACTATTGTGCGACAAATTCAAATACGAAAAAATCTTATTTTCTTACTTTGAATTATGTAGTTTGACCAAAACTCTCAAACCGTTAGTGATTATTGACCATCTAAGTATGAAAAATGAAAGAGACCACCCACTTATTGTACTGCTCAAGTTACATATTTAATCCTAGTCTTAGCAGGACATATACGAATTTTTACTTCTCAGGTGTTCTTGTGTTATCTTAGTGAAGGTTGCCCGACGTTATGTACGCTTGCATGCCTGACGAAGATAACGCTAAAGTGCGGCACTAAATAAAGTTACCCAATTAAGGACCATAAAACTAAAATTACGATATACGACGCGGTCACGCTTCTAGTGTTAGGTCACGTCATTCGGTGAAACCTTAACATTTTATAAGAGGTTTATAACTGAAAAAATATAATGAGTTACTTTAAAGTGGATGGTTAAAGGTGGTCATTGCCGGTTTTAAGAGAAAGTGATGAATAGGGTCAAATTACATGAGATGAAGGATCCATGTTGCAACTAAGGAACACTTTAAACGGCAATGGGCTACTACGACGTGGCGATGGAATTATTATTCTTCCATGTTCGTCTAACCGCTAAATGAAAAACACTATTTAATGACGACGACGTTTCGGTCTTGTACGAGTACAATTCGACCACTGCAAACGAAGACTACAGTAACTCAAAAACACTTGCTTTTGACTTACTGTATGGTATCGATAGACTTTATCAGGTTCTCTTTGGTGGAAGAGTATGCCACCTCAGTCAAGCAACTATAATCGACCAGTGAATCTTCTACGTCATATAGTAAGTATAATAGAGGCGGTTGGTCCCGCAAAAACTACATCAAATTGAGTTACTTTGGTCTCGATGCAAAAAATCACGGGAAGCCTAACCTACCGTTAGACCTACTGTCTGACTTACTATGATTTTCGCGGCATAGTTTGAGGTTACGGTCATGGGCGCCCATTGGGGGGGGGGGCAAGGGGAGGCACATGCCCCCCCCCCCTGAATGCTGCTTCAAAATTAAATATTTTTAATTAGATACCCAATCCGTGGGTAAGGAGTGGCGTGTGTGAGAACATCCCAACATACAAGATATTAGTTTTGCTACCAGTTTGAACAGTTGCCCCCCTCCCCCCAATAAGGGCGGTCATGGTTACGGTAATTAATAGCGAAATCGTTTGAAGAGTTAGGTGTATGAGAAGAGCAGTTTTCAAAGCAAACTAAAATGAATTCAAGAACCAAAATAATTTTGGCAGATGCAAAGAAGCTAATTGCAGTTGTTGAACCGTTAAATTGAGACAAGTTGGGTTCATAAAAAGTGAAGACTTCTTTTAACACCACAAAAAAGGTTCAAACATAGCATCCTCTTCTGAACATTATACATTGGGATCTGTCGCATCACAGTCTGTTTCACGATAGTAACATTGATTATCACAGAATGAGACCTCAAAACAATACGCTGTACACAAGCTTGCTTCCATTAGATGCTATAAAATTAAATGGTTAATTAGACCTATCTAAATCAAAAGCAAACGGTCTCCCCAGCATTCCTGCGGCTTACCTGCTTTTCATTTTTCTATAAAGCCAAGGAAGAAAAAAAATTACAAAGAGCACATAATATTAACAGTACTGAAGACACAGAAGTTGAGAACGATGATAGTGGAGAATTCGAAGATGAATATAATTTGAGTGACTCAGATTGGCATTAAAGGGGTTCTTTTCGACCACTTGTTTGAAACATACTGTAATATTTCAATAAATATCCTACTAAGTTTAGAACAAGTGTACTTTTTTCTTAAATTGATCCAGTGAAAACTATAGTGTCAACAAATTTATTTAAAAAAAATTTCATTTTCGCTTGGTTTGTATTGTAATACCATTTATAACCTTCTCTATACAAGAATTACTACAATGTACAACACATTTTTGATGAGATCATCATTTTTCTGACAACGCAATCCATCAGAACATCTTCTATTGTCTGTATCTCAGTTCAACAAATACTGAGTTACAATAGTCTTACTTGCAGAGGTCGAATTGAATTGACTTAACTTTTTTCACCTTGCACTTACAAATCTGACCACTATCCAACTTAGCGGACACTCAGGCTTTCAAGGTTCATATAAACGCTATCCAATGAGTCACATTTTGTCTTTCAGAAAATAAGTCATACCTGGCAGACCTGGGATCCTATTCTATTATAAATCTCTATGCTTCCATGGCCTTTCACAACCATAAGTTGTATTGACTTTTTACTAACGTTTCGGCCTCCTCGGTGACCTTTTGCAAGGTAAAAATCAAAAATGACATGGTAGCGGAAATAATCAATCCAACTAGTCAGTTTCATACTTTTCGTTAAGATCGGTTGACTGTAAGTCCCAGAAGTCTCGTATTTGACTCCAAACATGCTTTCACGACATGAGCATTTTTAAATGGCCAAATTACAACTTTTCTTTCCCCGAATATCACAATGCTTCCCACTCACCCTTTGTACCTAGATTTATTACGCTTTTATTCGGGTGCGTTAGAACAGAACGTTGTTCGTTTGAATTTGTAGAGGCACCGAAACAGAATGATTGTAATTGCCATCGTAAATAAAGCATCCGACGGTTCGTTTTTCTTGCTTTTGTTTGAAAAGCATCCACCACAAAGAAACTCATAGTTCAAACGCGAATGTGTACCGAAAGTTCTCTCCGGAGTCAGCGTAACGAGCAGCGAAGTTGCGGGAAGTTCGCTTTCCACTTGTTGGCTTAGGAAAATGGAGCAAGATGGAAATTGCACAGAAGTAAAGATAGGCACATTCGTGGGATGACCTGTTTTTGTCTCATTTCACAAATGAAACCCTCCCAGCTCTTTCATGTTCTATTCGGTCAAATACAAAATTTACAGGGTGAGTCACAATTCGTGACCAAAAATAAAACATCATAGACAGGACCACATTTTAAGGAAGGTCTTCTATGTAACATTTTTTATCAAGGATTTCATTAAGAGGATACGGGTCTTGAGGTTTGAAAATAAAAAATAATTTTATCTAATATCTCCACAACCGTAAACTGGAATGAACTAGAAGTGCTAATAATGAACGTATTTAGTAGTTAGAAAATCCCCGTTCTGAAAGAATCCACTCGTTTCAACACAGATTTTCTAGAAATGTCTGGATACGGCATTTTCAATGACCAACTATTTATGGAGTATTGCCACAACGTGTAAATGCAAACTCATACTTAGTTTTTCTAGAGAATAACATAGAAAATGTGTTAGATGATGTTCCGTTAGCAATATAAAAAATAATCATTTTAGACAACGATCGATGGCCTGCCAGGTCTCCTGATTTGAACCCCCTGGATTCCTTTTTGTTGGGCGCTTTTAAACAACTAGTATATGCTGGACAAATTAATACTGTTGTTCAGTTACAAGCAATAATAGATAACGCGTTTCATCAAATTCAAGCCAAATTTTGCGGAAATACGTTTTTCTTTATTAAAAAGATTTTGCACTTGTATCCGTCAGAATTGTGGTACCTTTAAAGATTTATTGAAATAAAGCTTTAATTATCTAAACACAATAATAATTACTTGTAGCAAATTTGAGGTTAAGTTCGAAAAAAGCAGTGGCGTCCTATTTTCATCTGTTGAGAAAAACATTCTAATTAGGAATTTTTGGACAGACTTATTCAGAAACAGACCCTTTTAACCAATCTGCATGTTTCCGGACCCACATTTGCGTCAAAACAACAATTTTTTTAACAAATTTATAAACAAATTCCAAAAATTGTTTCTTTTCCGCTCCCGTCAAAGTAATCTTAGATTTTTGGAACATCTTTAACAAAAAAGGTACCTTAGAACTGCTTCTGAAATGTTTTGTGGTTTTGATAACGCAGCTTTGAGGAGTATTAAGGAACATTGATAATTTGTTTTACATATTGCTTTTCGGGATCGAAAATGGCATATTTCGCATTTTTTCAAATATTGTATTGCTATATCTCTAAACTATCAACTTTATAGAAAAGTACCCTTTTTTATTCAGGATGTCCCAGAAACCCTAGTGTCACTTTTACCAGACCCAAAAAACAATTTTTAGAGTATATACTATATATTAAAAGGCATGAGTACTCGTAAGATTATGCAAAAAATTCAAGTCAGAATATTTTTTCCATTAGACGAGAAGATGTTGGCAGGACTAACAACATCAGTAGGGAGGCTCTGAAATACCTGCCATGTTACTGACTCGTCGGTGCCTCTTACTTCATGTCACACATATATACATTAATCCCATTCTATCATTTGGGGAACATCGCATCATTACTCTAGATATTACCGAAGCCTTGGTCAAGAGTAGCAAAATTCCTTATTAACATAAGATGTCCGTTTCACTTAATAAAGTCTCGTCTTCATTGCGCAATATCAGCGAGTGTCCTGCAAGGAACTGGCATGACAAATTCGATTTATCTTCGAAAGGAAGAATGGCGTTTTGCTTGAAAAATTTTAGGTGCAGATATAAGATGAGTGAAACATCTATCGAGCCAAAAACATTTTATATCCTACCTGAAAATCATTCCTGCTGCAAAAGCTCCTTCTGACAATAACATTGGTTCAAAACTATCCCACTCCTCTCTTGGATACCAAGTGCGTTTTCCTGCTCTTTCGTCTCTCTAAAAAAAAAAAAAAAAGCAGCTATGAATCCCTGAATCGTTTTGATGACTCAAAAGTGTTCTGTTTGCTTCTTACCCAGCAAACATAGAAGGAAACCATGCGTAATGTCAGCCAAAGGACATAAAACATATTTGTAATAAGGTCCACGATATTCCAAAGATCGGAGATGTATTCCTCCAGTCCGTCACACCAAAGTGATCTCAATTCGCCCCAAATTAAACCTATAATCAAATGGATGAAATTTATTCTAATAAAAAGAAGTAAAAATGACGACGACCAATATAAAAATTAAAATATTTTGTTAATAGAAATGAAATGTTTAGAATCCTCCAGCATTTCACTTAGCGATATGGATGATATCGAAATGTAGTTTTACTTACTTATGACGTACAAAATAACACCACACTCAGCAATACCGAACAGAGCTCCTCGTTCTTTTCTTTTCCACTCCTTGACCATGTCTTGTACCCAATCCGTACCGAACCATTCTAAGGCTAAGATTTCGATTCTTTGTGATGCTGCGCCCAACAGCACTGAAAAATACAATTTATGCTGATAATCAGTCATTTTCAGTATAATCACTTATCTATGCAAATGGGAACTGATAAAATTCATATTGCAATCCAGATATCAAAAGTTTAAGAGCAGAAGCATAGTTCTTTTCACAATTTTTGGCGGTTACGTCACAATTCCATACGAAAAAGGACAAACGTGGACATGTACACAATAAAGGAACATGAGCCGAAATATAAGGATTGGTGACCCGAGAGGCGTACGTTTCTGCTTATGCTTAACACCAAAGTAAAAACAGATGCCCATCATATCTGAATACAGGCGTGACCTGAAGGAAAACAAGGATGGAAAGGAAAATAAAACTAAAAGCCACCAACATTTTCCCTTTTCTAGAACCAGTTCGATGGTTTCTTGGAATAAAGCTATTTTTAAATCAAATATCAACAAAAGGAAAACAAGTAGCACGCTCATTATGGGCAAGCTGTCATACTGACAGCCACAAGCATTAATGTGGAAAATCCATTGACGAGAAAATGTTCAAGACTGAGACAAAACCCAGAAACATATGCCTGTGAGCGTATACAAACAAATGTCCGCATATAGACGTTGATTCCATACGTATGTGTGAGGGAGAGAAATTCCTGAAGTTTAACGCTGAGCTATCAAAAACCGTGGCCAGATACACGTCTCGTGAATAGATTTCATGCAGACGCAAAGTACCAGACAAAGACGTCTGTTACATTTAATATCTTTTGTAAGTTATTTTCTGGCTGAAGAAGTAAAAGTGATATTCCATGTATATCCACTTAACTCCCTCTTAGAGTATTTCAGAAGGAACAAAAAAGTAAAGAATCGTGTTGAGGTTGCATTAACAACAGTAAGTCGCTATCAAATTTGTCATTTTCACTACTAAATCGAGGAGTCTCCACAAGCAGTAGCTATTATCTCGCTAAATAAATAATGATAATGAAAAACCTAGGTAAAGAGTAATATTTAAAAATATCCTATTCGTCCTTTAACTCTCTGGGCGGTCCGTAGTACCTTTGCCCATTAGTCACTGTTTAATGTACGTTATGTACGCATCATGTCAGTTTGACAACTGAGCTTCGTATTTCTAAATATTTCTTTGAATACGTCTGCACTCGGGAAAATACTGGAAAGCTGTAGGCAGACAACACAGTCAAATAATATACCTATACATACCTCGCCTAAGGAAGCTATTAGTGATCGCACGCCTTAGGTGTTCGACCAAAGATGAGCTACTTTTAAACCTAGGTTTGGCATTACAACCTAGGTTCAAAACAACAAGCTCTTTAAAATGATGCTTACATGTTCTTCGGTGCAAAAGTAAACAATAATAATGACTTACTTAGGAAGAAGGCGTAAGAAGACGAATGACAAATGAACTTAACAAACGGTTTCTTCATGAATTCTCCCATTGGCGAAGTCGGTGACATCATGTAAACGGTGCAATAAACTGGAAACATGATTCCCAGTTTAGCCACTTGCATACCTTGTCCGATCATGTTTTTCCTTCGAAAACCTGGCAATCCCTCGTACCAGATTGAAGCCAATAGTTGTTGGACATTTGGATGCGCTATGAACTACAAAAGATTCTTACGATTAGAAAAACGAAAATGTATATAAATCAGTTCACAAAAAAATCATAACTAACAGTCATGAATCCCGAGAAACTTATTGGGAAAGTGAAGTTTGACATTATTTCCAGCAAACTTGTAAGGTGGTTTGTACAGCATGCTTTTATATCGATAACATTACTTATCACAACATGACAAATTAAATCCTGAATACTGAATGCATGTATGTACCCAATAAGAGGATATGCTGTATAGTTTAAAATATGGTGAATGTTCAATGAAGTATTGATTTGTTTTAATATGCTCATCCACCATATTTTAAATAAGTAATGTAAGGTCAATCAAGTCTGTGTAAAAGCTAATACCGGCTTCAGTGTGCGACATTGTAAATAATTGTCTTGGCTTGTGAAGCTCTTTTCATGATCACTACATACTTTAAATATTTTGGAACATTAAGAACTAGGTAAATACCTAAATATAGTTGAATCGGTCAGAGCAAAAACCATTCAAGTCCATTTTTTACCAACAGGCTTCCTTTAGTGGAAACGCTTCATTGAATGGATGCATATTCTGGGTAAAAACCTCGTACGCCACTACATACCACCTCCTTCAAACAACAACACGTAATACACGTTCAGCGCAAAACGTCGTAAGCCAGGCACGGGTATCATGTAAAAAACCTATGAAACGTCAAAGAAAACCTATAAGACGTCAACTTGCAGACTAGGTAGTTTTTAGGGCGCAAACAGTCATTCCACGTTTGCTAACTAGGATCGTTGTGAACGTCCATCTATGGAGGAATCACTCAACTGAACTACGCATTATTGGTTGCATATTTTTGTGAGGCTGAGTGATCCGGAACTTACGTGGTTTTTGCATTACTCTACTGCGGGTACTAGATCGAGTCATTTCTAAAACAATACCAATATCTTTATATTGCTTTATTTTCATACGTATGTGCTATCTGCACCAATATATCAATTTTAAATTTACTAACTGCAAAATAAGGCTTTATCCGCTTTGCTCGAAATCACTTGTCTTAGATTTCTCTTGTTACCTACCAAAATTTTCGACACAGCTTTCTCATTTGTATGACTGAGAAAGTCCTGAAACCATACTCTAAACATTTTAAATATCTGTTCATAAAGGTAGTATATCTTGCAATGACAATTTTTTGTTGATTTTGAAGCCTAGTAGTCAAGTAAGCATGTGTGTTTTCCTACAACCGATTATCGATTATTGAAGAAAGTTGAATGAATAGGTCTATCTATTTTTTCACATGTAAAACGGAAAATTCGACTTTCTAATATGTTCGCGTTGCTCGGTTTCCTCTATATACCTTAAAAATATTAAAACATGCAAGATGGAGACATGAGGCATGTGAATAAGTTAACATTTAAGTGTAATTTTCGGTAATAAGTAATGAAAAATATGAATTCTATGATTATTTAGCTTAAGTTATATATACTGCTTACCCTATTTCCTTCTAAAACAACGTAAATCCATATTACAGTTTTTGGGATTTTTCTACTGTTAATACTAATAAACTGCAAATGTTATTCAAAATTTCAATATTCTAAAACACAAATACTGGGTTAAGCCCAAAAAAGTATTTTAAAACTGGTTTATTTGTCAGTGACGAAATTTATATTATGTTCATTTTTTTATTATTCAATGGGACTCGCGAGGTTTATGCGCTGACCGATTAAATTATAATACACAATATTAGTTTGGGCTTACCGCTTTTTGTTTGTACTTGATAGCAAGCTTAAGCCTTTCCAAAGTTTGTCTTTCACCAGTGACCCAAGTTTCACCTTCTGGGTCATAGTTCAACATGATTTCTAGTTCATTTGATGTCCTAGCGTGTTCTACTAGAGAAGTCGCGAAGTTTTGGACTTGCTCCCTCATTGCCTAAGAAGAGATATAATTGATTGAGTACGCAAACAGTGAAACCCAGAATAAGTTGGCAGAATTGAAGTATAAGTGACGGTATTGCTACAAGTCCTTACAGGGTTTTCCAAAAGGCAATTTCTCGGAAGATCACAAAAATTAATTGTCCCAGGTTCATATAAAAGACTTCCTCCCTACGAATATGCTGAAGTGCACCACTGAAAAAGTATTTTTCTTAAATCATTTTTGATTATCCAGACTACATTGAAAAGGCCTTGGCTCATATGGGAGGGGGTCGGCCTTTTCGCCTTTTGAAATCTCATCGAGCTGGGTTTATTGAAAATAAAAGGATGTAACTCTTTTCCTTTTTTTGCTTTACTTATGTTCTTTAGGAACTGTTTTGTTGAGTCACGGAGAATTTTCGTTTCTATCAGATATCTGAACCGCATTAGAAGATATTTTTCCCTTGGCCAAATTCATGTTTAAGCTTTCAGAATATATACTTAACCAAAACTATTGATCCATGTTACATTTATCTGATATGTCTTCAGTAGATGATAAAGAGTGAAAAAATTAAAAACCTATTTTTTGTTGTTTCTTATAATGCAAATAAAGCAATTAATTCTTGGCCAGAAGCAAATATCCAGTTGAAGATAGTATGAAAATTCCTGCTATTGTATCATTGGCACTATAATTATCCAAAAAAAGATTTGGGAATATTTCAACTGAATTGATGTTGATATTTTTTTTCGGTGTAGCTTCTTCCATAGAATTTCAAGGCTCTAAAATGAGATCGTAAAGTTACTAATTATAAAGCGAAAGTACCTTTCCTAAGAGCTTTTAGATTCAAATATATAATAGATAAATCTAAATTTCAGTTCAGCTTAGTTGGATTAAAGTTCGATTGATGCTTTTCGGAATCCTTAAAAAAGTTTGTCTCCAATATTTGCAGTTTTCATTGCTGTTGGTCAGGCCACACTCCTAAGTATTTAATCACATTTTAGCTTCGAATCTGGGAATTTCCAACCCATTATCTTTAATCCATCAGATAGTCGTCGTGATTTGAAATACCAAAAGCGTTTCTATAGTGAACCCCTTTCTCTCTGCTAGTTGCTTTAGAACCAAATCACCCTGAATAATCAAGAATGGATAACCATGAACCGTCATAGTGCAAGGTTAGGTAAAACCTGAAGGAAAATGTCAACTCATCTCTAAATCTGGTAGTGAAATAATGAACAAAAGTCCCGAAGCTAGACATGGCGTGAGACGAAGCATAATAACATTTTTGAACGGTTATGGCATCCAACAGACCTCAGGCGTAATGCGATATGCCACCCAGAACGATGATTTGGTCCTAACTTGCAGATTCATTCCAACACACAGCGAGTCAGTTTCACCTGTTCCCGACGTCATCCAAGGCCTGTGCCACTTTATCAGACAAAACAGACACGTAGAATTCCTGTTTAGATTACAAGGTAACGTACAACACTTTAAACAAATTATCAGGAAGATCGAAAAGGGAGACCCTTTAGATTATACCCAAATTCAACCTGCTGACGCAGCCGCGATTATCAAACAATACTTGAGACAACTTTCCCGACCACTTATCCCCAAAGTGTACCATACAGTCTTCTTGAAAGCAAATGTAACAGAAGACAGAGAAATAGCCTTACTAGCTGCCACAGTTTTGTTACCCGCTAGCCACATCCAAGTCCTAAAATACATGATGCAGTTCTTCAACAGCGTCGCCAAATACAGCGAAGTCAACAAGATGGATCCAACAGCTCTGTCGGTGTGCATAACACCTAGCATCTTACCGGTGGTAGATACTGATAAAATAATAGACGCTGTGAATTCAGTTAAAACTTTGATCGAGCATTGTGACAGAATAGGAATAATTCCGGAAAAGATCCCTCTGTATGATGAGGAAGGCAGAAAAGAATGTTGTTGTATCGTTTTGTGAATATCTAAGAATAAAAGAGTGCATAATTTTAGTTTCGCTTTTGATGGGAAGCTTCCAAATTTTTGAGCCAAATTATTGCGGCAAAATACGATATGAGATTTGCTAACTTTGTCTTCGAAAACTCTCCATTCTGACCCGTCAAGAAAGGGTCCATTTTGCCAGGTTTCCAGTTGTCGTATTTGAAGGACGTAGTACAAAACGTAGAAAATGGGTTCCAGTCGATTTATTTCTCGCTTCCCTGAATTGCTTCTCAGTGCTTTTGGATTGAGGGTTGTATGCGCCCGGATTGTGACGCTCCCGAACTGCTCTAGCAAACGTGCACGCAAACACGACGATAAAAACCTAACCTGTTTTTAAATGTTTTGCTTTGTCGTTGAAAATGTGTATCTCACTGAGAAACAATGAAAATGTAAACATATTTTGCCTTTACTTTCAGAAGCACTTTCAGACTATTCAATTGATGCCTGATGATGCTTTTAGAATGATGGCGCAACATGTCAGAGACCTGCATTTTTATTGTAAAGCTTCTTGGTGACAATTCCAGCATGTTTTTTGCAGTCTTGGGCATAAGGTTGCCATCCGTTGGGCTGTTTTAGAACTTGACAGGCCAAATTTATATGTGTCCAGCCTATCCAGCTTTTGGTAGGCTTTTTATTGCAGATAAGTATGATGTTGCTCTGGTTTGTTTGATTTTCATCTTCATAAAAATGAGTTTTCCCTACTAAACAAGGACGGATCGAAATCGACCAAAATATAATTTTTAACCATTGAATGTATCCGTTTTTGGTTTTTTTCTAAATCGCTTATAACTCGAAAATGGTCAACTTTGGGGAAACTTTATTGGAGGCATTTATTGTTTAGAATAATCCAGAAAATCTGCAAACATATAGTAATTCATTCAATATTTTTTTTTTAAATTTCAACTGGGTTACCATGCGATATATCAAATGCTTCAAAGCTCGGTTAAAAATTATATAATTTTTTTATAAAAATGTCTAAACAAAAGCTCTACACGACCACGAAGAGCATTTTAAGATCAGTTTATTTTAAAGCAATCTTTTACCTTGTTTGTTAGGCCAAAAATGGGTAACTTTTGATTTTTGCAGGCTGTATATGCGTTTTTCCGAAGGTTCAAGTACAGTCACCTAGGTCGAATGCTCTGTTAAAACCACACATTTTCATCGTCATATTGATCACCAGATATACATTTATTGAACTTTTCTCCTGTCCGGTTTGGGTTTTTTTACCTGATTTTCTTATTCAGTTTAATCTAGACGGTGATACGTCTGAAGCTACTAAAGTTCAACAAACTTTAAAAACCGTTACCAATTTTACGTAAAAACAAATTTTTCTAAAGAGGATTGACGCCCATCTTGTAAACGCAACAGGACCGCCCTTTGATAGCGATTTTTCGTCTTAGAAACAGTTGATTAGTTAATGCGCTGTATTTGTATACATATCTGTTTGATCCCAATTACTTACGGTATATTCGGTTTTGAATTCAGTTTCCATCCGGCTGAGTCGCCTTAGATCCCAAGACAGTTCGAAAGCAGTCAGTATTGGATCATTTGATGACAAAGATATCAAAGATGGCGACGATAAAGCTCTGTAAGCATTTATTCTCGCTTGGGAATGTCTCAAAGAGTCTGTTTTGCTCGAGGATACGCATTCGTCACAACCACATCTAAAAAATGAGATTATTAAATGTAGTGTCAAATTTTAAGATTCTCCAGCTTGTACAATTAAAAATGCAGAAAAGATCTTTGAAATGCCACACATAGTATGCAATCCATTGCCGTTTATACAAAAAGTGTGTGTCCTTGACCTACCTCACATCGTGAGGCATGGGCAACGTAGCTCCTCTGTCCAAAAGCAACTTGATAATCTCATAATTATTCTTGTGTGCTGCAAGAATTAATGGTGTTATATCAGCTGTAAATGTGGCAGCTGATCTGTCAACTCGTTCCCAACTCTAAAAAATTTAAATTCGTCAATGTCTGCAAAATTATCTCCAAAACGGACTATAAAATGACACAGTAGTATTATCTTCACAAATATAGCTGAAGCTTGAGCAAGGTACACAGCCTTAACTTACGTATGGTTGACCAGGTTTATGAAATTCTTCCTCATGGTTAAGAAGCAGTTCTACGGCTTCCACATATTCCTCTTTAATTGCATGTAATACCCCGTCCTAAAAAAGAAGCAACATGGTTTTCAGAATTCAAAACCAGTGTAGCGGATCTTAGAGCGAATTTTTATTAGATATTCACTCACTTTTACTTCTATATTTTCTTTCAATAACAATTTTATCAATTCTATGTTCTCGTTTTCAATAGCAGCAATCAAGGCAGACCTGTTAAGTGGGTCTACACAGTTGATGTCGAACTCTTCAGGTTGACTTCTGTATTCATCAATTATCCTACAAAGAATATATACTGTGAGGAATCGCTAATACTCGTATCACACAACTCAAACATCATAAACAATGTAAATGGAAACTATGTCTATCCAGAGGTACCCGTTCGGTCAGGCAGCATCAGCATAAATCTGTGTTACGCGAAGTGTATTAAGAAATAAAGAATCTTACTTCTGGACTGTAGCACAGTCTCCTCTGTCTGCGTGGAGAAGAAATGTCTTTTCTATAGTTGACAGCGGTCTATCTATAATCTCATCGCCCACAGGAGAGTCACTTACGCTAAGGTTCTCCTGGCTGCCTATCAGGTTTTGATAGGATTCGGTGTTCTTCATCTTGTTGGGGGCTTAAACTGACGTAAAATATATTAGATATTCAGGAGCACAAGAAAAACAATTCTCTTTAGCAACAAAGTACTTTTCTTCGCAGGTTATAAAATAAACCTCAAATAGCTTATACCATTATTACCTAATGGATTGCTGTCGTCAGCAGCACTAGATTGTTATTGAATATTGCTTAGATGACATAAGGGTAATTTCAGATGCCATGCAATTCTAAGTGCACCTATGTTGGGATAATACGTTTAGTCTAAGAGCTAACTTTAAACCAAAAAACCTCGTGCTCAGAATATTCTGTTCGCATGAAACTTGGATAGACTCACACACATTATTTATTTATTTACACCACGAACGTAGCAACCAATTATTGGTGGAAGAGCAGAAGTTTACATAGTACAAACATACAGAAATACACACGAAATATAACATACAAAAAACTGCATAAGATATTCGTAGAGATCTTAATAGAAGTCACATTCGTATTCGTTGATAAGTAAAACGTTAGAATGTCTGTGGTGAGGTATTAAGCCACAGGCGACTTACTAATACTAACGAGAGCATCTGCCTTCTGTGGTCGAATGTTAGCATACCGTGCCTGTTTAACAACACATCTTGTGGAATACCTATTTCTGGACAAATACCATCAATCCTGCAAGAGAGATATTTCGGAAACATACGTTGTATTTTTTCTAATGAGTCACATGTCAGGGATTCCAAATAATTCTTGCGTATTTAGGTTTGGTATCATTTTGCAACATGAGTAGAGCCTTTATGCTTTGATTTACAGCAGCTGAAAAGTGTGTCAAATATGACTACAAGATCGTTAAATTCTCTTACATTGTTATTTTATTAACCTTATAATGCTATTCTATTCGGCGTGGTTTTCTAGGAAGCGATATGCAGAAATCAAATTACATTTCTTCATTGCCGCTTTTCAAGCTTACAACACTTTGTAAGGTAAGGTCTCTACCTACAGCATTTTGGGTCACGGAGATTTGCTAGTGTCGTAAAGAATTAAAGTCCTAAACTATACAACTCGGAAACAAGGAAAATACTTATCGCGAATTTGTAAGTTTCGCCATTTTTCAAAATTGCCAATTTGCGAAAATTGTTATGTAAGAATAGTCAGCTTGTAAGGTTTTTTGCAAGCTGATTCTATAAAAGTATTTATTTTCTCACATATATGAATTGTAAGTAATAGAATTACGTTATTGCTGTTATTTTGAACAATAACACGCAATTGAGGAATTAATCAGTTATTATTTGCATTAATTACCTCTTATCACACTACACGTTATGGGATGGTAATTGTCTTGAAAATAAGAAGAGCATAAATTAACTGCATCGGCATCAAGAAACAAGAGAAAGTTTGAACAAACACTTCTCAAACACATACCTCATTTGCGTTTTGGAAAAAATCTTTTGTTCAGGAGGTTTCGATGCAAGCCATGGGTATTTGATCATGTTTTGACAAAATTAGTGCTAAGTCGTATGTAAATGTTCACGAGATCAGATTTCGTGTTGTTTTCGACTGAAAGTGCGCAGTTCTGTAGCTTTTAACAAAATTTTTGATCTGCCAGTAAAAGTAAATATCGCATAGTTGACAAATTGAAGTGCATTTTGGAGAAATAATGCTTATAGTACATGTTGTCAATTCTTGGATTCATTCTTTTTGAACTTGGTACAAATGGTCAGATTGACCATTTTGAGAAATACTCGTACCTTCCTTATTTCTAAGTTGTGCTCCTGAAGACTTTAGAAACATAATACACTACCAAGTCTCTATCAACACATAGGGCTTCGGCAAAATCGTTGACCCGAAGGGTGTAAGGTCCATGTCAAAATTCGTCACTTTTTTATTATAAAATCGGAAGCCACCTGAAATTCTGATTTATTTATTGCAATGATCAAATGCGCTTTTGGCACATCAAGGTCGTAATTTTGAATGAATCATATTTTTTAAAACAATTGCATGCACTTGGTGAAGCGAAAAATTTTTTCTAACTGAAATATGAGAAACCTCAGAGCAGTTCTAAACGAACGTTTAATCAATGATTAGTTATTTTGAGCACACAAAAATACGAGTATGGATTCTTTTTCTGCTTGAACGTAGTACCCGTTTTTTTTATAACTTTTAATATTCGAAAATTAGTCATCCCACCTAACCTTCTAATAGCAGTATTCATGAATACTTTAACATTGTATAAATAGGGTACTCAGCCTCCAACCCCACATTAGAAAACAACAACTTTGTATAATACAGTTTAATGGGCGAGCATGCATAAATTATAGTACACGTCTAAAGCAGTGAATTGAAGGACGGTAGCATAAATTGGATCCTACAGGGAATTAATCTGCATGAAGTCTATTGTATTCAGGATGAGAACAGCGGAGAACAAAACATGATTGGTTTTCTTCAAAACAATTAATTTTCTTTGTAAGCAACAAAATTATGGTCCACAGAATGATCACCAACGTCAAATGCGGACGAGCACCAGAAGAAGGGACAATTTATCACTTTTTACTCATTTCAGCGAAGATGTATCAAGATTTATAGCTGACAGATGTCTTTGTTATCACATGTTTGCCCACAAATTGCATACTGAGTTTTTGTGGTAGGCTGTACCCGCCTTTTTTTAACGGGTGGCCCATCCATGTGTGGACGGAATATTACGAGTACTCTTAAACAAATACATTTTGGGAAAATCTATTTATGGGATGTTATGCACGACATTTGAGGGCACATTTCTAAAATATTGGCCATTCAAATGGAATGCCTCAAATTTTATTGCATATTTGAATTAACCAATTCAAAAGAAGAAAATTGGTATAACATACTATGGGGCTTTGGTAATTAGCTACTGAGATATAAGGTGTTTTGACTAGAAAAACCCTCCATTTCGTCAACCCCTCAGTCCGTCACTTTGGAATATGGAGTGCTGAATTTTTTATCAGAAAAAACTTACACACCTCAGCATCTTATTTGTTACTTTTTAGAATTTTAATTTTTGCTCAAACACAAGTTGTAGTTTTTCTCAAACATTTCAAATGCATCACCCTGTATATTTGTGCAAGTTTGGATTCATTTTTTTATAAGCTTTCTTTGATACTAGACACATAAGGGTTTTTACGGCTGTTTTACTGGGTTAGGCAAATATATTTCCAAAATAAATGGAGCTTGAATGTTTGGGGAGGAGTTATTGGCAGACAAGTTATCGGGCCTTTCTTTTTCGACAAAAGATTAACAGGTACAGAATACTTGAATTTTCTGATAGAGCATTTGCCTTTACCTTTGGAGGATGTCAACCTGCAAACTCAGATGAATATGTACTTCCAACTTGACGGGGCACATGCGCATTATCATAATTGTGTATTTGTACACCTGGAGTAACAATCCTTGGCCTCCTAGATCACCAGAGATGACACCGATTGATTTTTTTCTATGGGGATACGTTAAGCAAGAGGTTTATAGATATCCAACATCTACCCAGAAAAATATGAAGGAAATGATTAAGGATGCTTTTCTAAACATAAGGAAACACATGCTGAGGGATGTGCAACGGTCACTTAGCCTAAGACTACGGCTGTGTATTCAACATGGTGGAGATATTTTTGAGCAGTTTTTGTAGATTAGGTCTTAAGTAGTGATGGTTGTTTGTTTATGTTGTTGTTATAGTTGTTTCTCTCTATTACGCTTGAAGCTGATTTATGCTGTTCTGATTGGTATTAGTTTTCACGTCAAATCTGTACTCTTAGTGGCAATATGGAATTAGCCTACTGTTTGTTTTTTGTTTCCATGGATGATGTGATATTTTTCCTTAATTTTGGTGTGGCGTTCTATTAAAAGCTTAATAACTCAAAATCTAGTGATTTTATCTGAATCAAACTTTATACCAAAGAAAATCTTGGAAAAATTTTAATCCAAACTTTCACAAATATACAGGGTGATGCATTTGAAATTTTTGGGAAGAAGTACAATTCGCGTTTTTGACCACCCTGTATGAGCAAAAATGAACATTCGAAAAAGTAATAATAAGATAAAAGCTGAGGTGTGTAAGTTTCTTTTTGATACAAAATTCAGCACTCTAAATTTCAAAATGGCGGATTGAGAGGTTGCCGAAGTGGACGGTTTTTCTGGACAAAACACATCTCAGTAGCTAATTACCAAAACCCCACAGTATGTTACATCAATCTTCATCTTTTGAATTGGTCTATTCAAATATGCAATAAAATTTGAGGCATTCCATTTAAAAAATCATAACTTTGATATGTAGGTCAAAATTGGGACACCCTGTATAATCGCAAATACTTTAGAAATGTGCCCTTAAATGTCATGTATAACATGCCATACATATATTTTACCAAAATGTATTTGTTTATGAGTAATATTCCGTCCACACATGGATGTGCCACCCTGTATAAGGAAGGAATATCTAATTCCTAAACATCGTCTGCAAAGGACTGCAGTGTATTTACACCCAAGATAGAATGGATGCGTGATTGCCAAAAGCAAGGACAGCGTACAGGGCCGCATTCAGGGCTACGCTAAGCAAGGTGAATACGAAAACACACGCGACGGTCGGTGGCCTGAATGCAACTCTGCCTGCCCTGCCACTGCCCCGCGCATTATTCCGCCAGGCGACCGCCTGAAATTTAATGGCGAATTGACCAATAAGAGGCGTTGTACCCACCTGTTACCGAGAGATCACGCGCTAACTGTTATTATTTACATCTCATCTTGAATTTGGATTCAGTTTAGAAACGGTTCTAACTACTGTAATGCACACTTTTATAATTTTCTTCCTACGGCACTCAGGACATGGCTCATATGGGTTTATAGAAATAAAGCGTACCTTATCAATAAAGCATTTTACAACATCGAAGAATTTTTAACTAAAAACTTTTCGGATCTCTTATAATGGTGTTGTAGTGCGCTTGTTTTATTTTACTCTGTTCATTTGCTCGGATGTGCTTGTTTTATAGTTTTGTATTTATTTTAAATTTTGAATTTATAATATCTTATCTGATCTTTTTCTGTTAGTGTGTTTTTTTCAATTCTTTCGAACAAACGTTATTGTTTTGTGAATTTACAGTTTTGCATTTTAAATTTTACCTTGACCTGGGTAAGCACGCAAGTGTATTAAGCACCAATAAAGGAATGAAATGAAATGAAATTTGTTCTTGGTACACATTTCAATCCTCCCCATTACAAAAGATACATCCCCCAAATCAATTCATTGTGTCCCGATTTTCTTTGGGCTCTTAGATGGTTCAAAAACGAATTCTAGTAAGACTAGAATGAGGATAAATTGGCCCCATTTACCGATTTTTAAAACTGTGCTTCTAAGATATGTCCCGTTGATCTGAATAATAATCTTCCTTGAAGGTATAGGGCGAAAATTCAAAATGAAGTAGTTAGCAGTAGAATGCTTTGAGCTTAAATTACAAAAAAAAACATTATTTAAGCTAATAAAGTTTCAATTAGTTTATGAGGAATGTTAGTGAAGTATCTGGTCGAGCTTCAATAGGTCTTTTACGAGTGGCATGATGTCAAACTTCTATTGAAAATAAGTTTTAAGCAAAGGATATTACTTTAGCCCTCTGTTAAAATTTGCCAAGGACTTAGATCTCAAACAAAAGCGATTTTTTATCCACAAATTAAATAGCAAACCTTAAAAAATCGACTGGGGCATTATTAAAATGTTATTAGAAAACGAATTTATAGACTTTTAAAAGCTAGTTGGTTTCATCGAAGAAATAGCCCATTGAAATTCGGCCAATACTAGTACCTATAACTGCTAAATGCTGATATCAATGTGAATAAGCCTCAGGTCTACAATCGTGTAAATTGCGCCTGTATATAGGTAAGAAGCTTAGGATAAAGGAAACACGTATTTACTCACCATAATATAAGGGTTGAATCCCAACTTTTACTTACACCATCCTATGCTGAATAGTAAAAATGCCAGCACGCTAGATCCTCCCGAAATCTTACAATTGAGCGATCAATATGTCGTTAATTTAATTAAGGATTGATACGCTAACACTTTTATTACTACAAGGATTACAGGGATATTTTCATGTGTGTCTTATACTAAGTGGATAGAAGTGGTTTATTTAATGGTCAGCTTTAAAATAGAAATGAAAATAACCTTGTCATTTTAATCCGCATTCTAACAGAATACAATCATGGTCCTACAGGACACCTACCCAGAATAGAATTGTGTAACTGCAGAAAATATGGCACAGGGTCTCGGCCCCTCTGTGAATACGAAGAGCTAGATCACAGAAGGCAAGAACCTTTCAATCAAGGGAACTTCGCTCAGTCCGCCATGGAAGCTGTACCAATTAGCAGATAATTATTGACACATATTAAAGCTATTTGAGCTCTACGATATGAGGGTACTGATATATTCTGGTGAATAGTTGGTTTTAAATCATGATCTAGTCATTTTGTCAATAAAATACAAATCCTATGGAACAGAAGTTAAAGCCACATCTGTAATAGCAGTAAAGTGATAAGCCTATTTCTCCGTCTGAGTTACTCAGTCAGATTTACTATCAGAATTCTTATCAGTCGGAGGATCGTGTCTGTCTTTCACGCTGTCATCGAAATTAAATCCAGAAAAATATGTGTATTCTGTTTAAATTAAAATATCGATTACTTTCAACATCGATTAATTTCCGTTTAACGGACATCTTGGAGTTTAGTGAACTGTCATTTTTAAATATACTACTTAGCAACGTGAAGCTTATCTTTATGGTTCATCTTAGATTGAATTTAGGTTGCACCGTCGTATCTTAAAAAGTGCTTAGCTAAGCGTTCTATTAACCTGGCAAGCATGTTTTTTAGAGATTTGTACCTTTGCACTAAAGAGCACCGTGCAACAGGTGAACCCCACTACTGTGCTGACATACGATCGTGCCAAAAGTCCTATTATTTTACATGTGTGAAATATTCATTTATAACAAATTTGTTTTACATCATGAGTTCTGCTGCAAAAAAGAGCTGCCAAGTCTTTCCTACAACAAACATATTTATTACCGATATATAACCGATATCTGAGGTTGACCAAAGACCAATAAGTTACCACTGCCTCACGTAGTTACGAAGTTTACTGCTTCTAAGAGATACATTGCGTCAACTAATAAGAAGCACAGGCGAAATAGGGCATGTCTGCTTTCTGACTCTGCGATCAAAGTCAACAGTAGTGTAAAAGGGGGATTTTCGTATGAACTCGCAAACATGTTTTCTATTCTATTGTAGCCTTCTCAATAAGCTGGCTGTAAAAATATATGAGAAAACTTCAGGTTTCTTCTTCTTCTAAGTCATACCCTGCCTTAACTAATAGCAGGCACATGATGAATAGGATCTGTCTGCGATGAAAGCTAACAGTATTGTGAAAGGGGCATTTTTTACTCTCCCAATCCACCTAAGATTAACTAGAAAACTACTAAAGCAAAGAGAGCAACAGAATGTTGATATAGGCGTTGATATACACACTCTAAAAAATTCAGTGGACTAGCGACTCTCTCAATATCTAATCAAGGGCAGTGAGAATTGAAAATGCAACAAAGATTAAATAACATTTAGTATAAAGGTATAAGTACTTCCAGAAACAGAATCATTCTTTAACCGTTAAAAGAGCTTAAAAATACCGTGATATGAGCTTATATAAATACAGTCATCAATGATAATAAACTTGAACAATTTAGGTAACTGGACGTCTAAAATATACGTACCTAAAGTGATTGGGGGAGAAATTATAAATCAAGTCGCCTATTTTATTCTTGAGACATGGCGACACTATCTACTAGAAATACGAATGGCAGAGTTTATCTACTAGACACAATTTGGACACTCTCTGCATACGCGACTGTTTATGTATCTTGCTCTCCGTAGCTATTTGATAATAAATTCGTATTTCCTTAACCAACTATAAAATAAAATACTCGCGAAACACTATCTCTCTCAGATGCACACGGATTTTGATTTACTACCTGGGAAACATGGCCTGTAACCATGTCTGATTCTGAAAAGCGTATTTTGATGAACAAATTCTCATTTTTCGGGTTTCAGCTTGTTACATAACGATGTTTCATGTTTTTTAGCAATTATCACTGCGGTATAGATCTACTTATTGGAAACAACCAAGCGAATATGAGTCTACTGAAAAACTCAATATTATATTGGATATAGAAGTGACAGAGCCACTTAAGAGGTTCCCCAAACGTGAACCCCTACGTGGATAGCAGGAATCTGCAGTTTTCCTTCATCTTTGATTGACGGTTTGCTTCGTTAAAAAAATAAATGTACCCCACCACATAACAAGAAGCAACCAAACTCATATTCGGTTTTGATGGATAGCCAAGCTTTGCGGGAAGCCATTAGCTTCAGCTTGTCGGGGTTCAGGTGACTAAACATTTGATTCAGTACAAACATATCTGGTTAATAGCTGTTTCTGCGATATACTTGTATCTTAAATATCCAGGACGTAGGAGTTTTTTTAGCTGCCCGAAACTTCAGAGTAGTGCAGCCTGAAACTTCAGTTTTCCTGAAACGCTGCTCGTTTTGCTCTCCTCAGTTTCTTCTTTTTTGCACCGCGTTGTTTTTAAAGTAAACAAAAATCGCCAGGTTTAGTTATGAATACATTCCCTCGTGTATCGATTTAGGAAAACCAGGCCAGTAGCATTTGGTACATACGTATATAATCCACTTATTTAATAAGCTTCATAATTCTCCCCACATATAATACAATTAAGATTTGCCACAGTGTGTAAGACGGCAGTCCTGATTTATTTGGAACTATTCTACAAGTTATGCCTGTCCAGAGACATTCGTTGTGATCCCCCCTATACAGTCTGCTTTGATTTTCTAGAATCACTTGAAAAACCTCTGCGAAAGCATGGAGAATGACGTAAGTTGACAACTTTTATTTTTTGTCAGTATGTCAGCTTGTGGAGCAGCAACCACTGTCTATATTCTGAGCTTGAGTACTAGACCAATCAATAGGGTTGTTAATTACTCGATAATTCTGTAGAAATTATCATAGGTATTCAACTATTATATGTAATTTTTTTTCTCATGCTTCAAACTTAAAGCAATTGATTAGTATTTATTTTTCTAGGACAAGCGATTATAAAGGCAGAAAAAAATATGGTTGATCGCGCGAAAGTCCTGCCTTCTCTTGAAAGACTCCATTCGTTACTGATTAGAACATTTTTATTTGGATAGCAAAAATAATAAAAACGGGTGTTTTTTAAGCGAATAAACCTTTACTGTAGGTTCTTTTGAGTAAAACCTTGTTCGACCTGACTATTCTTCAACAGTCCTATATAAAGAGTTCATAGAAGGAAACATTGTTTTTCACACCTGAATAAATATGAATACAACTCATTGTCAGTTACGATAGAGGTGAGAGTTAATGAGATCATTTCACTGCAAATCATGGAACACCACGCTAAATAATCGCTTTGGCTATCTGGTAAAGGATATACGGTTAGCTGAGGTTGGTTAGCCTGATACGGTATACAACAGAGTACTTACCCGACTGCCTCAGAAGGAAGGTTGTGGTTTTCGCGCCTAGGTTTACGAGTATATGCATATGCAGACAAAATTTTATATTTCACTGGCTACAAGCCAAACGGCTTGATAGATTTTCATATATGAAGTGTTATTAGATTCGTGACCAGTGCAAGTGGCACAGGCTATGTTAATTTTTTATAAAAATAACATGGCAGATTTTAATAGGAACAAACCTTCTTTGAATTGCCTATTTCACGGGCTATTATTATCCCCAGATTTGTGTTGACAGTGCAAGTGACATTGGGTATACAAAATTTTATCAAATGTCTTTTAACAAAAATTTGAGCTTTGAAAATTGTTATTCCACGGGCGTCTATTCGTCATTGTCTATCAGAGCGGTCCGTAGGACCTTATTTGCTCTAGGTTGAAGTCTTGTAAGTTAGTAGGTCTATCAGGTCTGGTTGCCCAGATACCAAACAAAGTCAGGGAGAATGAAAGGAAGAAGAAAGGAAGGAAGGAAGGAGGGACAGCAAAGATAAAAGAAGTACATCAATTTGAGGGGTGCCTTGGCATTGCTAGTTAGTATTCGACAATTTTAAATTGATCCTAAAATTAATTTTGGGATTGGTTGGACCTAAAGTCGCACGATTTAATTTTGTTCACAGTGCGAGTCGCGGCCTTGTGTGCTTGCGAACTTGCCCGACTGTGTAGTCTACTGACTTGCGCAACAAAGGGTTGTTATGCGATTGACTATAACGTAGCTGCGCTTGTTGTTTGATGTAGTCCCTTAGGTAAGGGAGGTCAAGGTCTCTGTGAAGGGACCATTTTGTAAAGCCGAACTTTGTTGATCAAACTTAATTTTGATGTTCTACATAGCATAGGGTAGAGTTGCCGAAACGAGATTTGGAATTTAATTTTTAACGCTTCAGTGTGCTTCTACCAGGTCATCCTCTTGTCAAGAGTGACACCGAGATACTTAGCAAGCTTTCCCATGGTACCCGAGCTCCATTCACTGAAACCTCAGACGGGGCGCCGCTTCGTTTTTTAGTACAATAGATTGCGTGCGTTTTCGAATGATTAATTTTGATCAGCCACCGATTCGCCTATTCCAATACCTCGTCCACTGTACTTTGCAGCCTGTCGTGAACTAGCTCCCCAGAGCACGACTGGGCCACCAGGGCAGTGTCATCAGCATAGAGATAGGTTTCACAGTTGCTGGAGCAAGGGACGTCATAAATAAAAAGTGAATAAAGGACTGGTCCAAGAACCGAACCCTGAGGGCCACCTGCTTTGATGGGCCGTGTTGTCGACAGAAAGTTATTAATTTTGATCCCAAATTTCCTACCCTCGAGGAAGGATTTAAAGAGTTTTAGGAGCCAGAAGGGGAAGCCCTTATGGATCAATTTGTAGAGAAGACCCTTGTGCCACACCTTGTCAAATGCTTTTGAGACAT